AAGATTACGTAATGACGTCAATGCTTTTTTTGTTTACAGACGAACCAGAGATATGATTATATTGTATTTATGATTTTTTCTCTTCATTGTAAGATCGAAAATTACACTGAAATCATTTTGAATAAAAAGATATTTTCTAATTAATAATTAAAAAAATTTTTTTTATCTAAGTGTATCATTTAAACAATCGAGGAAATCGAATGTAAAACACTAAATTAAATTAAATTAAATTGCTTCGATGAAGCGTAAACAAACAACGTTTTGCAGGGTTTTTTTTGTGATGAATAAATTTTCATTTCTTGTGATCATTTTACTAGTTTGTTTAACTCGAAATTGTGACGTTCTGTCTTCATAGTCAGAAGTAACAATGAAAGCAACTAGTGTAGTTTATCATTCATTAGCTGGGATAAAGTCATTTATTGCGATGTAGTCTGATAAATAGGAGGAAAACCTCATGTAATCATTCAATTTTAGAAGAAATTAAAAAAAATTAGGCGTCATAATGATAAAAATTGACAAATATCACTGGAATTATTAACCAACTTGTGTTAGACCCACTTAAAAAATATGGTAGCATGATTTTAATGGAATGCAGGAATCGCCACAGTTCTTTACTGTGACAGTTATCCCCTATTAAAGGTTCCTATTATGAAAATCAGAATGACACATATAAGTGAACAATATTATTTTAGATTAGATTGTCACACTTGCCTTCTTACTGTCAACTTGTACATTTACCTGTTATGTTTATTTTTATTTCATTTCATTGTGATTATTGACTCATAAATTGCTTTGATTGGTTTAACATTTTCATCATAAATATTCATGTATATTAGAGAGTAAATCCTGATAACGATCTAATCGAAAACAATATTGTTCGCTTATATGTGTTGTTCTATTTATCATAAACTCGCTAGTAACTGCTTTCGATAAGAAACTTCAAGAATTGTGTTGAGTGGAGCTAAACGGTATCGAGTGTGAGACAGTTACCCACTGATGAAGATGGAGGATGGTCGTTCAGTGTCGTGGACTGAATTAAGTCAAACCATAACAACATTGGATGAGTTTGATCTCCACCTTCAGAGCAGTGGATACACACTACCGAGGAGTCCTGTACTAAGACTGAGTGATTGTTCAACGATTCTAGATTTTCAATGGTAGTCTAACTTTCATCGCTTTATGACTTCAATGAAACTCAAAAATCTGTACAACTAATTACTGCTAACTAAATAATAATAGTAGAAAATACTAGAGGATGATAATAACTGATTACAGTTTTCTTAATATGAAGTAATAATCAAGACAAAAACAAGACAAAACTCTCTCACTCCGTTAATGATTTTCATCCTGTTAATCTTCTATAACGTCTTGAATCAATTTATCACTTCAAGTCTCAAGATGAATAATCCATGTTTCGATTACGGTGTTTCAACTCCGATTGGTGAGATATACGAATTCGTCAAACTCACTATATAGTAAGAAGACTAGCAGACATTATTCAAATTTTATTCCGTACATCAGGTTCTTATCTCAAAATCGAATCCATCGCTTATCAGTGGTTCCTAATTTTATCAAACAAATACTCATTTCACGCAGAAATCGATAGCGCCTAGCAGTAAAATCCACGACTTACTGAATGTACCTGCCTTATCACAAAGTTAATGTTCTGCTTGAGACTGAAACTCTGTACCATACATTCCTAAGACTGTCGCGTTTTCCATCTAGCCATTAAGTCCAGATAAACACTGGCTTCTACAGTGGACTGAATTCTTCGACCTATTCGTTTAATAATGTCAATATGAAGGCCATCTACACAGGATCCCTTTATACTAAAGCAGACTAAGTACTCATGATCAGTTCAGACATTAAAATAAGTATGATTTATCATCTACTTAGTTTCAAAACAAAATTATGGTATAAAAATAAAGGACAACAGATCTGACCTCATTTTACTCTAATTTAATTCTATCAAATCACTCCCTGTATAAAGTTTGACTAATTTTAGTTAAGAATTTCAATCATCGATCAAATATCAACTGCCTGTTTTTGTTGTAAAGTTATTTGTTTTTCATTCTGACTTTTTTTTAAACTGAACTCTGTAGACAAAAATGTTTGTTTGCTCTTTCAATGCTTCAATATTCAATTTTAATTAAAGGTCATTATTTGTGTATCAATAATGTTAATTAAAATTGAAAACTTATAACTAGTTCAAATGATAAATAATATATTTATAGAAGATATTAAATAAACAGTTTTTGCGATGTAATAGCTGCGTAGAGAGATAATTCCTTTCATAAACTGACATATCAGTTAGGGAACCATTCATTATAAACTTGGAAACTTTTGACAACTTTACTCAGTGGACAGTCACACCCATCTAGGTAGCATTAGATCTTACAGTGATTTTACAATATATCAAGACGTTTTTGGTCAAAACCAACCCTTTTTATTAAGATTAACATTACTGTACCTCATGTATTACGAAATCTCATCAGAATGTCAGATTTCTATCGCATAATCATAATTTAATTGGGTGGTTTGTACAGTTTAATCACTTGTTTATTTTCTACTGATAACGACGATGATAAGAAAAAGTAGTATTTTTCCTGTCGACATAAAATATTTTTAAAAATTCCTCATAAAATTATATCTTGTGTATCAGTACAGTTAGAAAAATGTTTTAATTGTCTTACTTACTATTCTACCATTTGATAGACATCATTCTTACATATCAAAAAATTTAGATTAAATCTGTCAAACATTTAACTACATTAAAATAAAATTTACTCTTTTCTGATTTTCTGTTTTAAACTTGACCAGATTGCTAGTCAAAAAATCATTTTGATAAAATGTAAATTTAGGCTTTGAATGTAAGCTAAGGTTTGTTACATAAAGAACTAAATAGCTACTTTATGTGATTATATGACTCAGTATAATGATTCCACAACCTTGCCACCGGGAATCGAGCGCAGGACCTGTAGTTCCATAGTAAGCGCTCAACCTCTTTACCGCTAAGTTGGCATCCAATGCTCTACCGTTTGTCACTTAATTTAATCTGAAATTCTTCAGAATCTTCTATCATAGTTTTCAATGGATAACTAATACATACACAATACTTTAGGACTTGATTAGTTATGGTTTCTTACGAGAACTCATGGAGCTACATTTGAAAGTTAAGTACCAGTAAAACACAGTATGATTGTGTCTGACGCTTGCGGAAACTGCTAAAATTTTCACAGTTTACATCATAGACAACTGTTCAGTGTCTCCTTGTTTTCAGCAATTGTCTAACCACGCATTATCACCAATGTAAAAAAACTACAATAATCCAGTCACTTTGAAAAATTCATTTTATCGATACAAATTAGATAGTATAATTCCAAAAATAATTTCATTAACTGAAAATATTTATTTTTCATTGCTTAAATAGTAGTTTTTTTAAAAAAAAACTAGATTCTTTTAATTTTCGTAAAAATGTATCTGAAGCGTGATGGCTCTTTTAATTCGACTAAATAAAATTCATTACTTGATTTTAAAAAAAAAACAGAAAATGTTTATTCATTTGTAAAAATTTTATTTTTTGTTTTTACTGCCATTTTTGTTTTTCTTTTTAGTGAACTTCATTCAAACTTTCTTTCGTTCAATGTTCAATACAATGTTTTAATTTATCAGCAATAAAATTGTAGATAACATTTGATTAAAACACTATTTATATATGAATGTAGATGTGTTTGTGAATATTTTAAAAATTTACTACTATATAATACATTAATTAGTCAGTAAAAACATTTCTGTACACGTTGAAAGCTTTTCTAACAGACCAACTTAATCTGATTTCAATAGAATTTTTTAGTGTAACTGAGTCACAACTTGATAGTACATTTTCAAAATGCGAGCATATTTACATATAAATTGGTGATATCAAGTCGTAACATTTCCATAACATTTAAGAAGAATACAGGTTATACATGTTTAGAATGAAATGACATATTAAAATATTTCCCTTAGAAATCTGCTCTCAGCTGGACGATTCGAACTTCGCTGATCACCTGGCTCTTCTATCGCACACGCAACAACAAATACAAGAGAAGACAACCAGTGTAGCAGCAGTAGGTCTTCACATACATAAAGGGAAAAGCAAGATTCTGAGGTACAACTCAACATGTGCCAAACAAATCACTCTTGATTGACATTCTTTGGAGGACGTTAACAACCCTACTTATCTCGGCAGCATAGTCGACAACCAAGGTGGATCTGATGCAGATGTGAGGGCGCGGATCGGCAAAGTAAGGGCTGCATTTTTAAAATTGAAAAATATCTGGAACTCCAAGCAACTATCAACGAACACCAAAATCATAATTTTTTATACAAATGTCAAGACAGTTCTACTGTATGGAGTGCAAACTTGGAGAATCTAGAAAATATCGTCCAAATGATACAGTTATTTACAAGCAGATATCTACGCATATTACTTCGAATCCATTAACCAGACACCATCAACAACAACGTACAGTGGGAGAGAACAAACCAGATTCCAGTGAAGGAGGAAATCAGGAAGAAGCGGTGGAAGTAGATAGGACACACATTGAGGAGAGCACCTAACTGCGCCACAAGACAAGCCCTTTCCTGAAACTTCGAAGGTAAAAGGAGAGGAGGAAGGCCAAGGAACACATCACGCTGAGAAATAGAGAAAGACATTAGAAGGATGAACAAAAACTGGACAGAAGTAGAAAGGGAAGCCCAGAACAGAGTGGGTTGGAGAAAACAGGTGGGCGGCCTCTGCTCCATTTAGGGTAACAGGCGTAAGTAATTGAGTGAGTAAGTAAGTAAGTAAGTAAGTAAGTAAGTAAGCTTCATCCAACTATGAATTCAACTAGCAATATTACTTGTATAATGTATAGTTTCCGTATTGTAGAACTATCAAAACCGATATTTAAACGATAATATTTATAAAGAGTCATATTTCAAAGAAAGCATGTTAATAACAAATATTATCTCACTTTTGACTACATCAAGAGGTTTTGCCACCAATTGTTTAGCAATATAACCAGCCATATTTTTTGGTCTATTGATATTCCTTTAATGTCCAACAAAAGGAAAAAATTACTGTTGGCAGAGAGTTCCAGTAATAAAATTCTACTTTTTATTTGTGTAAAATGTTAATATTGTACGTATGAAAAAATAAACCGTTTGATATTTGATGAGCTTTGTATATATATTTTTTAAATGACCACAAAGTTAAACAGTTTTTTGAATGCTTTACTGTGGTTCCGCACAGTGAATACTGAATAATTGGCTAATGTGAGAAAAATTGCCAATCTCCTCTTCACGTGTATTTATATGTATAGAATGTTGATTCATATAAGTAAGCATCAACAATAATTTGTTAGTCTTTTAACATGAAATGGGCGCGCATACAAACAAACATACTGATACGAGATGATAGGAAAGCAAGTAGCTTTTTTGCATGATTCCCATTGGTCAGTAATTTTATGAGTTCATTAACTGATTGGTTGATTAGTTATCAACTTTCCCATTGATAATTTATTTCAATTATCAGAGTAAATACTACTATCACCAGTAATAATTGTTATTATGATTATTATAATGTGGGATCCATTTTTGTAGGGTTTGTTTGTGAAAATTCCTCCATATATATATTTGTAATTCGTCCTCACTGATTCCTTCAGTCGTACATTTTGTTAATCTGTTCCATTCTATTTTGTGATGACAATAATTTTAGTTTATTATAGTTTCTATTTCTTCTGCCTTTACTGAGTTTCTATGTTTCTTTCTGATTTTCATTCATGTTGTTTAAGCTGATTCTTAGTTATGGTGACAGCCATATCGATTTGTTCCCCTTTTGATTGTGTCGGTTGCTTACTTTGACTGGAATTGTGCATTTCGATTGTGAATTGAAGCACTCTTCCAGAGTAGGAAACACTATGTGTTATAAAGCAACCAAATATTATCTCCTGAACGAATCTGATCTATTCAGGAGGGATAGAATAACACTTATTTGTTGCTGTTGATTTGATTAATTGAACAAATGTTGGTGGAATAAGTAAGTGGTAATATTTGTTCAAGTAATGATGTGTATATTTATATTTATGCTGAATAGTAGAACCGTCATGTGCCCGCACCACTTGTTTTGGATTTCAGCTAGGCACTACGCGTATCTAAACTATCTAGACAGTTATTCCTCAGTCCAAACGTCAGTTTGGATCCTACAAATACATTCATTTTCGTATAGACATGTATTTATTTGATTACAATAATAATAATAATAACAATTGTAGGATCCGAATTGACGTTTGGACTGAGGAATAACTGTCTAGATAGTTTAGATACGCGTATTGCCTAGCTGAAATCCAAAACAAGTGGTGCGGGCACATGACGGTTCTACTATTCAGCATAAATATAAATATACACATCATTACTTGAACAAATATTACCACTTACTTATTCCACCAACATTTGTTCAATTAATCAAATCAATAGCAACAAATAAATGTTATTCTATCCCTCCTCGATAGATCAGATTCGTTCGGGAGATAATATTTGGTTGCTTTATAACACAGAGTGTTTCCTACTCTGGAAGAGTGCTTCAATTCACAATCAAAATGCACAATTCCAGTCATCGCAACCGACACGATCAAAAGAGGAATAAATCAATATGGCTGTCACTATGACTAAGTATCCGCTTAAACAACATAAATGCAGTTCACAACGAAACACAGAAACTTAGTAAAGACAGAAGAAATAGAAAATATAGTAAACTAAAATACAAATATTATCATATCGTGAATGACATCGAACAGATTAACAAAATGTACAACTGAAAGAATCAATAAGAACAAACTACAAATGTAAACATGGCAGGATTTTCACAAACAAAACCTTTCAAAAAATAAATCTTACAGTATTCATCATTTTTGAGAAATAGATTTCGATTAATTTCGCCGAAAAAAAAATAAAAATTTAAACAAATCTGAGAAGAATCGGTGAAAAGATGTGTTGGCGCTTCTTCTACTTTTTTTCCATCTACTATAACATTGACTTTGTCAGATAAAAAAATAAGTAAATACACACACAGTAAATATTTATTATGTTGTAAACAACATACTTGAGAATGTAAGTTTCTCTGTATTCTATTCTATTCTATTCTATTGTATTCTTTCTTCTGTTTTCCATCCCAATTCCTTTTTAATAATAATAGCAATCAAAAGTAAGCAATTACATTGAAAAATACTTTGTATAATGACCATTGTTAGGTTATTGTATATATTTCTATTTGAGAAGTAAAACATTCCGATGAATAGTTACAACAAATAGTTTCTTTTTTTTTCTTTATACTCTACACTACAATGTTTATCTCTCTCTTACTCTCCGTTTATAACACCTACACACACACACACACACATAAACAACTTGTAATCCTATTTATGTATCAAAAATATAAAAAGAAAGTGGTATTTTTCAACAGCTTAAATCACCAAAACTATGCTGCTGTATCTTTGAGTTAATTAACTTGAAGAGTTATTGTTTTGTTTCTGTTGTTTTTTTCTCGCATAAATATCCCATGATCTAGGTCAATACTTAATGAGTAAACTAGTTAGTTCTTTTTAACTTCATTTCTTGAAAAGTTATTGTTTTAGAATTATACTGTGATTGTAAGCATCCTTTCTGGTATAAGTGGATTTTTAGTCAGTTAACTTTCCCATTGTTGATGTTTATATCTGCCTAAATTGGTATCTTGTGCAATTTCCCCCTTATAATGCTGTCAAGTCACTAATTTTCATAGAATAGATAGAATCTGGTTGGCCATAGAATCTGAGACATACATTTTTTATTTTATTTGGGACTTGCGAGATGCATATACCTGTATTCTAATTATGATCTTCTCATGAGAACGATTCAGTTGCAATCTGAATTGATATGCCTCACTTAAACACGTCAACTTGATATACTTGAACCATTACGAGTTTACCTAGTCGGAAAAACGAGAGCGGGGTTTGAGGATCCGGCGACATGACATGCTACTAGTCAAATCCGATTATCCCAGCCCCCATATTTAGTAAAAAAGAAGAAGACGTGATATGAAGTAGAACTTGTATTCTACAAGCATCCAGAAAGTACGAGGTCCGAATCCAGAAGAGAATCAGGATCGCGGACTATGGATCCGGGACCGAGCCGTGGTCGTGGTCATAAAATGTTACAGATAATGCGTATTTATACATTTTGGTCGACTAGGAAACAGCATAGAATTCTGTGGCATTGACAGTTAAGACGACCATTAGGAAGTAAAATTTGAAGTGACATTGATAGTCAGGTCAACCAATAAGAAACAACATTGAAGTATTTGACTTTGACAGTTAAAACAACCATAATTTTGACCAATAGAAATTGACCAACAGGATTTGACCAATAATTCTCTTAGGATATTGGATGAATATCCTAACATGAATACACTGTGCGTTTGGAGAAAAAGGAATTGGGTTCGAATTCATGTGTGAACATCAACGCTGGGGTACAGATATATTCACCTGAAGAGTCTTAAATAATCAGTCAGTCAGTCAGCTACGACTAATAATTTCATACGTACGTACGTACATACACCAGTTCAAGTTACTATGCCACATTAGCACACATATTGAATTGTCAGTTCAAATCCCATAGTAGTAGAGGTGCTAGAAGTGTTGGCGGTAATCAAAAAGATTGCTGATCAAAGATGTCATTCAAGAAGTATATCCCAGATGAATCAGTTTATAAAAACGGGAAGAAAACGGTTATGAGGAATTGAGAAAGTTGAAATTTGAGAGAAGACAAAGAATGAGTGCACCTGCGCCATTGCAAGCGACATTGGACCCCGTGATTCAAAGTCTCTAAACATCGGTTACTATTGTCTCGCGGACCCCAACCATGTGGTCACTTGTCAATAACATCATGGATATGTGCCATGTTTTGGTTTGGCGATGTCTAGCTTTCTTCCAAACTACTACATCACAAAACATAGCTCTTCAAGTCAGTCAGCCGTAGGGCATACGTAACACATATGCCAACCACGTCAACTGATGAAATTTCACTACTACTTCATCTATTGATCTGCCATCCCTACCAAAGACCCTTTCCCTAACAACAGCATTGCTTAGTCGGTTGTCCTAGGATATACGAGTAGTACTTGGAAGACACTCATGATAGAATACTAGTAACCTAAGAATATCCTCTACTCTTAATGGCTATGTTTCACACTCATATAGTCTGACGGGGTGAACTGATGCTCAGCAGACGGATACCTCAGCCTTAAATAAGACAAAATATATAACTTGGATTCATGTCCTAACTAGATTACGTCTATTAGTAGAGCTCTTATATAAGGCTTTTCTCTACCTCATATGGAATTTTACTGTTCTAAATCATAGTTTCGAAGTTCAGAGATTTCAATGCTAAATATCATACATAGGTTTCCTTCTGCATTAAGTTTGTCCATTTCATTCGTAACCTTGAGTATAGTTTTATTTAACTAATCAAACAAAGTATAACCCTTGACAAATTGTTGTCGTCTATGAATGTCCAATAAGAATAATAACTTTATTTATTACAATTTGTCAAGTTACAGTGGAGTATTATCAGCTCAATATATAAATAGCATTACTGAAAGTTCTACTTTAACATTCTCAATCAGAACTTGTATCAATGTTTATACAAATGGGATCTATCTGCCAATTATTTCCAATCGTTCATATTTTTCTAACTATTCCCACATATACATAAGTTTAATGTATGGTTTCGGCCCAGTGGTCCAATGGTTAGACGTTCAGGCACAATACCGAAGGTCCCCGGTTCGAATCCTGCGAGGTGCAGGAGTCATGGATGTGCACTGCTGAAAAGTCCCATGCCAGGACGAAACGGCTTATATATTTTGTTGATACTTAACATAACGGTAGTTTTTGAACGCCTTGAAAACGTGGCCCATGAAACTATATTTCTTAATTTCGAACGTTTTGAAGGTTTTCATGTATCTTGACAAAAAATGTCTACTGGAAATCGATTAT